CAAGGATTAATAAGCTATTGTCATGTTACAAATGCAGTTCAGTGGAATACAAACCTAAAGTAGGTTAAGAAATAAAGTGATACCACCAAACAGTTCCAGAGAAGCAGAGAATAGCAGTACTTGTGCTGGGGACTGAGTAGCCACTGCCTCAGCCCAAGAGGTGCCTCTGGCATAGAGAATGCTAATGGTAAATAAAACTATATTAAGATGCTAATGTTATAATCCAAAATGAAAATTTGTTTGGAAAAGGGTGGGCTAGTTCTTTAAGCCTCAATAAAAATTGGCAAATAAATTTTTATGAATAAAGAAGCCACTTCAGGAAGTAATGAGATATAAAAATATTAGTAAGGTATTAACTTTTAAAATATCAGAAATAATCAGCCTTCCATCACAATCAAGTTCTTACCACAAAGCTAATCTGTTTGGCATTTCTGGTGGATGTAGAATACAAGAGGGCATAGACTCTAACTATTGTTAGAACAATTTGTTAGATATCTATCTCCAATATCCATGTATTTGAGATGAGATAGTCATTCTAAACCACCCACTACCCCGAGATGTCTGCATTTGCTCTTCACACTAGTGGTTTGAACTAGATTTTCCAGCCTATATCGGTGCATCAAACTTTTGAAAAGAGAGGAAAGGTGAACTTGAATCATCTGTGTACCTGCTTCAGGCAGTCAGTATGAGAGGAATCTGGCTGACCAATGGAAGATCAAGCATGGACCCAAAGGATAAAATCAAAATCCATCAAAAACCTACAGGCAGCCCAGTAATAAAGTTTTTTAAAAATAAATCTTAATGAGGTTCTTTCTACTTGCCTGTCCAAATACTTTCCCACCTATGCAGATCCATTCCTGCCTATCCAGCTGTCTCCAATCCTGATCCCTACTTACCTGGTCAGCTGTCTGCTTCACGGGCCCCATTGCTAACCCATCACCCTCAAATTCTTCCTAGCTACCCTGTTGTTTCTCCCCCCTCCCAGACCTGTGTCCTTCCGTCTGTCCCATCTACTCTTCCAAAGACCTTTTT